AGAGTGGCTTCACAACATTGTACGTGGTGAAAGTTCAATTTGGCTTTGTAACACCCTTTCCTTTTCTCCAACTGTCCCAGGCAACATGTGCCATTGATCTGAAGGATCCACCTGCCTTTTTTCCTTCTTGTGGCCAGGTGTTGGCCATTAGCGACCGGTAGGCAGATGGGAGTGCTCAGCGCTTTTGCAAACTGACTAGGTAACACCTCCCAACCTGTCTAACTGACAGAAGAGCAACCCCCAGTTGCCTGGATGTTTGGGATAGGGACACGTTTGGGCATAGGGCATCCAGACGAGACAAATCGAGATTCGAGACAGTACATGTGTGCCAGATGGATCCAGACTACTTGGGGTTGGGGGGTCTTAACCACCCATTGTGTAGCTTCATCCTATCCTCCACAAGAAAGCCCAAAATATCAATTTTAAATTTTAATCCAGAAAATGCCAAGTGCCGATGTAACCCAGCCCATGTTGCTGAATGGTACACAATACAACTGTTGATAAACAGATCCAGTCTTGCAACCATACCGGTGACGAAAGCCCAGGGGCTAGCCCCTTCTTCTATTTGAAAAAGGAGTGCCCACAAAGATGTAGAGGTCGGGTTCTTTGGTGTTGTGTCAGCCTGCGCTGTTTAGAGAAAAAACATGCAGGCCAGTGGTTTTGCCTCATACATATCCATTTTGGACATACCGCGAGCAAGTCTTCAGTTACCAGTTGAAGTGAAAAAACTGCCAGGGTTCTTTGGTGCTGTATCAGCCTGCACTGTTTAGCAAAAAACATGCAGGCCAGTGGTTTTGCCTCATTCGTATTTTGGACGTACAACGCGCGAGGGTTAGTCACCAAGTGTTTGAGGCAAGTGTTCAGTTGTCAGTTGAAGTGAAACACCTGCTCAACGATTGGGCTCGCTACGCACCAAACACAGGTGGTCATTTGGAGAAGACGACTCCGTGTTCAAACCGCCAGCCCCTTTTTGCCGAGACGGATTTCCCCTGCGCACCAAGCTTTGCCGAAATGCCAGCGTGGCGCTTTTTCGTTTCTTTTGGCTTGTGTCGCCAGCCATTTTGGTCTGACAGCCCCGAGCCTCCAAACTTTTCCGAACGACTCCTTTTCAATTCTCAAGTTTACGTGGGCAATGTACTGGCGGTTTAAGAGTCAGCAAGTAACAGGCTAGAGGACTGCTATTCATCTTCTTTGAAAGAGAGCGACTTTTGCAAAGGCAACAGGCACGCAGTCAACATTCTTGCACCGCCCTGTGATGCTCTGCCTGACAATGCTCCCACATACACCAATAACCCGACCTCTAGTAATGCGGCAGTTAAGATGCAATTTGAGAAAATTCACCCCCTGGATGCGTATACCACGAATGCGTGCCCACAGACACTCTGCGCTATGTCACAATGCCCAAACAGCCAGCCAATGTATTGGCGAAGGTGGCCGTTGAGTGTCATGATGATTTATAGGGTTGGCAACTTTGCATTCGGTCTCTGGAAAAATCCAGCATTACTTGGGCAGATCGATTCCACAACTTTCGTCATATGGGACAGATCGTGTAATGCACTTTCTATCATCAGCTGGTATAACTCTCTCCCAAACGCTGTCATTATTGGGCCAATTGACATCACAGGCTCAGTTGTATGGTGAGACGTAAGCAGAAAGGGGGAAAAGGACAAGAAACGAAAGGCTGAAAGACAGATTTGTTGAATTTTCAGCCACTCATTAGGAGGCTGAACCCTCCCTCGACAGTCTGCAGAGTCCCCTAACCATTGATACTGTAAGTGGTATTTCACATTAATGATTAACCCAAGTTGTAGATAGGCCAACTGATACTGAGAGGTGGGTAGTAGGGTACTAGACACTGTCATCCAGTGTGCCTGTCATAAAAAGCATGGTCCACATCAGAGGCAGAACTCTCCAGACTCTAGGTTTACACCCCATCAAAGCCAGAAAAGCCCTCACCAAATGACGAACGTTCTGCCAGAGTCAGAAAACACACTGCAGACACACCGCAGGCACTAAAGGCACAACATGGCCACCTAGCAACAACCCCAACCAATACTGCTCCAAACCTGATTAGTAAACCATCGCAGGGAACCAAAGGAAGAAAAGGAGTAAAGGGGAAGATACTCGCGGTGTGACAGAATGTTTAGTCGGGCTTGCATCGACTCACAACAAGGTTGAACCCTCAACTAACAGATGGCACTATATGTGATAATCACCTTAACCCAAGGTGCAGATCGGCGCCAACAACTGCCCCACAACTAATACCTCGCATTGGACACCGAACACTGCCTTCTAGCTTACCTACGATGAAAATCAAGGCAGACTATCCCCCACCCACACAGGATGGAGGAATCTACAGAGTAGTACAGACCCTATGTATTGTCACGTATCTATCGACTAAAAGAGTGCATGTGCATGCCACTGAAAATAAGCACCGAAAGTCGCGAAATTCTACGAAATATTCAACTGAGGAACTGAGATGATGGACTGTTTCGCGCAACTTTCGCTGAGTAAACGGAGAGGATGCAATCCTTGACATCTGTGCTACCCTCTGATTCCAGTAGTCTCTCAAGAAACAATCCGCCCAAATATGGATCACTAGATTGCAGTTGCAGTCACAGCGGCGCACCATACACTGCCCTCAAGAAAGAAGTGCATCAGACCACTGCCTGCTTGTACAAGTCGCAAACCCTCACAGACTCACCAGTTCAGCTCCATACACTGCACAGACGATTGCCTGCTTCTATAAGCAGCAAAATACCCTGATAAACCGTCCAGTTCAGCTCTAACAGATAAACCACCCATGAAAGCATATAAAAGCAAGGAAGATCTGTCACTGCAGAGGCCTAGTCTACAACAGTATGAGCTTCAAGAGAAGAGTCTGTACATGAGAAAAGTCAGGCAGAGAGAAGAGAGGGAAAAGAGGTACGTGGGCAGGTCATGCATCCTCACACTTACTGGAATCAGCCTCACAGAAAATGATGGAAGTAGAATCGGACTTCGTAGCAAGTGCATTATGGGATACTCGCAAGGCTATCGCGCGCGGAAAAACCGCAAGGCTCTCACACCATTCCATGCCCCACATTAACCATGAGGTTGAACCCGTCAGCCACGAGTAGCATGTGCCATATCTGTCAATATATACCACCCAATCCCCCTTATCAGACACATTATGATCCCAAACACGAAGAGTCTTCGCGTCCATTGCAGCAAATACAGACAGCTCGGCAAGCAATCGTATCTCCATAGACTTCCTTAACATTCGCACAAACTCCAAAACAATCGTCAAACCACGATACTGCTAGTATGTACAGAATCATTACGGATACTTTGAATTCAATCACTGCCATTCTTCCATCCATGGCACAAAGCAATCAATCAACTGCTCATTATTAAGGCTTTACCACAATCGTCTTCATAAAAACACCCGACAATGGCTCCAGATAATGAACCTCTCATTTTGCACAGGGGGCAAGACCTTCACAAACATAAACAGTCACTTCTGAACACTTTCAATGCTTGAGAGAATTGAGAAAATCTAGCAGACAAGATGGCCAAACAAGAAAATCAACTGGAACATGACTCCGAACTCCTGAGATGGATGCTCAGGATTACAGATAACTTTGAGTCCAGTGCACCCACCTCCCTGCCCCGGAACAGAAGGTTATGATCATGCAACAAAACAGCCCAAGATGCCGGTTACGCTGCGGTCCAGACCCTATCTTTTCAGTCAATGAGACCCCTGGCAGGAAAACTTACATGAACTAGTCTGTAACAGAACTTAGTTGAACTTAGTTTAATGTCAGTGGGTGTTAGCAGCAAAACAAACATTGGTGCTACCCACTTTCAGAGTGGATTACGCTTCTAACTTCTAAGCGTTCTCATGTCATTTAGCAACATTGGACAGCACCAGCTTGTGCATTCAGCATTGTTTGGTGTCATGAACGTTCACCGGCAACATCAATCTCGCTAGCTTGATCCGAGTGCATCGGTGTGGATCTCTTCTTCGAGAGTTTCCCCGCTGGTCCGCATTAGAGGGCCGCACAGGTTCTCGGATT